CTCTCTCACACACACACACACACACACACACACACACACACACACACACACACACACGCGCGCCGAAAAGAGGCATGGCGCACAGTGCGCACCTTGCAGGGGTAGCGCGTCCCCATGCGCTGCGCGCATGGCGCACCTCGTGCGCGTGCACATGCGCGCGCGGTGTCACCGCGCGCATTCCGCACAGCGCAGCGCACCACATCGCACTAATGCGCCGCAAGTATGGTTCAATCCCCATTGGCCTCATGTACCTTCCTGGGCATGCTCGGCGCCCGCCACCTAGAGATAGACCACTGGATCCCCCGATCGGCATTGAGCAGAGTCTGCTGATGTTCGTAGGGGAGGGGACCTGAGGGGAGGCACAGGGATTGGTCCTGTTGGCATGGTCCCTGATGCTACCGGCTGTCCCCAAGCCACCTGCAGGTCGGGAGCAGCCCCCGCATGTTCTCTCGTGAACACGGTTCTGGCTGCTACGGGGTTCCCCGTATGCCTACGGGGTTCTGGCTGCTACGGGGTTCCCCGTATGCCTAAAAAAAAAAAAAAAAAGTCAGATGCAATACTCTCAGCACAGGAACTGGTCGAGAAGACAGCAAAAGTGCCCTTGCCAAGAACCTACAAACTTTTGAAAGCATAAAAGCAGCACCGGCACACGCCTTCGGGACTCGATACAACTTCAAATTTTGTGCAGGCAATATCTTATTGATAACTTTTGGGCGTAAAGAAGAAGCAGATCAAAAGAGTAATTTCAAGTCAGAATTTCCGACTTCATTTGCCAAACCACAAGGGCTCAAACTCGAATTCCGCATGGTGACACTGGAGACAGGCTTCTGAATCAGATGTCCAGATCTGATTCTGGACAAACAGATGTGCAAGACTATCATATCGAGTCTTTTTGGCTATGATTATGTATTATATACAATTATTTTATTATTATTAATTTTATTTAGGATTGGGACGTTAATTTTATAATCTCTTAAAACTTGAATCCGATTAGGAATTCGCAGTTGGCCCTCAGCGAAATGTCTGTATTGTAATTTTCGGCAACATACTTTTTTTCAGACTGTTTTAACCTTTACCTTTTCGAAAAATCGTCCCCTTTTTTTTTACTTTAATTTTTCTCTTGAATCTAACTAGGAGTATTCAGATGGCCCTTACGAATAATCTGATATTTTACAGTACTTAGGTGATCTTCATCTTTTTTTATTTCCCGGAGAAGGCATCAATGCATCAGGCAGTCGGAGACAGGATGTCAAGAACCACACAAATAATGATGAGTTTTTGAATTGATTTCCAGTCTTCTGCTTTTAAGTCCGTTCAAAACTGGTTCAATTTGGTACCATCCGTTTGCCTCTGGCCCTATCTTGGTCATATCAAGTCCCGCTGTCACATGTTGTCCCATTTAGTACTAACCATACTCAGCGTATAAGGGTACATAGATGGTTGCGCAAATGCGCAAAACCAACTTACAATGAGACCATTGCCTCAGTTATCACATGAGCTCGACAACAGTGTCAGGACTGAAAAACATCAGCTGGAGTGCCCCTGCAAACTCAAACACTTCATCAGACTTGACCTCTGCCTTATGACCCAATGCCATCTATGGTGTCATGACAGCATACAGTTATGATCCATGCAATGTATGGTGTCATGCTTAAACACATCCATAAACATGACAGCATACAAGAAGCCACACATGCACATATCATATACCCACAGAGATTATGAAGCAGAACATCCCACAACACAAAGAGTGCTGTATGGACGCACCCAGCCTCCAGAATAGAATGGCACAAGATGCACAATTGAGATTGTTACAAAAAAAAAAGAAAAAGAAAAAAAAAGCTAATACAACTAATTTCCGATATGGGGGGCCCTAAATTTGATTCGTTCTAGATCCCCGGATAGAAAACTAGAAATCCAAATACCATCCCACTGTTTCACATTTTTATGCTATTTTCAAGTACATCACCCTGGGCTACCAACCCGGCTTCCCAGGCCGCGGGGCCAGGCAAGGGCCAGGCAAGGGCCAGGCAAGGGCCAGGCAAGGTGACTGCAAAAGAAATAAAAAATTTCTGAACAAAAAACTATGTTATGCAGCATACTAAGCAACTTGTCTTCTCCTCATTAGGGGATTTTTCCTCTCATGTTTTGCATTGCAGAGCATCAGCGCACTCCTCAGACCATCAGCACTTACTAGCAAACAGACCACCAGGGCACTCATCGGTATGTTACTAGCAAGCTCTACTCTGCGCGGGGAGTAGTACTCAGGCTCCTAACCCCTAGTGAGGGATGGCAAGACCCTTCTTCCTGCCAAGACCAGCCAGGGTGGGCAAGCCAACTATCTCAGCTAATGAACGGAAAGTGCGCTGCAGGGGGCCGTAGGGGATGGAACGGACAACGTGGGGAATCGAACCCATGACCTCCTGAATGCCACTTGTATGCTTTACCAACTGAGTTTCAAAAAAAAAAAAAAAAAAAAAACCTAACTAAACTAAACTAAACAACTTTTGCGCCAAAAGAAAAGAAAAGAACTTTTGCCCCAGGGTCACCGGAATACTTTACTAAACTGGAAATAAAAAATAAAACTCAAATATATGTTGTTGTTTTTTTTTTTTTGGCTTGGCTGGGTAAGTGGTCCTGGGGCACTCTGGTAGCCTACACATCGCCTCAAAATCATTTGTTTTTTTGCAATTGGTGAAGAGTTTGAAATCTTCTTTTTTTAATCATTCACTAGGTTTCCAACCCCGGGCGCCCGGGGCACCCGGGCTCGACCGGAATGGCGCTCGGGGCGCTCGGCTGTGCAACCCCCCCAGCCAGGCCCCCGGACCCCATCAGCGCCGTACCGAAAACGGCGGCAAAAAAAAAATTTCGCGCCGCCGCCCGTCGGCCAACAGGGCCAAATTTTTTTTGCCGCCGTCGCTTCAATTTTTTGGGGCCCGGTATGCCACTTTTCGAAGGTTTTTTTTTTCGCTCGTTTTTGGCCGTCGATCGCCAGTGATCGACGGCGCACGCACCTTCCGAATTAATTCGAATCCTGGGCCGATCTCACCCCCCCGGTGCCCGCTAGCCCGGTGCCCGCTGGCCCTCCGCCCGCTGCACTCCGCCCGTCGTCATCCTGCTGCCGCCGAGCTCGACGTCGTTCCGCGCCATCGCCGCCTCCTGTTGCCGCGCCATCCTCCTGTTGCCGCGCCGTCGTCCTGTTTCCCGCCGACTCCCTCGAGTGCTGCGCCGCGCCATCTACAGGAAGGTAAGCTTTGTGTTCATCTTCTTCTTTTCTTTTTCTTCGTTTCTTCTTTTCTTTTTCTTCGTTTCTTCTTTTCTTCTTCTTCTTCTTCTTCTTTTCCTTTGTTTCTTCTCCGTGTGTTTCTTCTTTTTTGTTTTTTCTTCTACTTCTTCGCGTTTTCTACTTCCTTTTCATCTTCTTCTTTGTTTCTTCTCCTTCGTGTTTTTCGTTTTCGTTTCTTTTTCGTTTCTTCTCCTTCGTATTTTTCTTTTTCGATTCTTCTTCTTCTTCTTCTTCTTTTCGTTTCTTCTTCTTCTTCTTTCGTTTCTTCTTCTTTTTCTTCGTCAACTTCTTCTTCTTCTTCTTCTTCTTCTTCTTCTTCTTCTTTTATTCGTTTCTTCTTCTTCTTCTCCAACTTCTTTTTCTTCTTCTTCTTTTCTGCTTCTTTAAAGTCTTTTTCGTTTCTTTTTCTTTTTCGTTTCTTCTTCCTCCTCCTCCTCCTCTTCTTCTTCTTCTTCTTTGTTTCTTCTCCGTTTCTTCTTTTCTACTTCTTCGCGTTTTCTACTTCCTTTTCTTCTTCTTCTTTGTTTCTTCTCCTTCGTGTTTTTCGTTTTCGTTTCTTCTCCTTCGTCTTTTTCTTTTTCGATTCTTCGTCTTCTTCTTCTTTTCGTTTCTTCTTCTTCTTCTTCTTTTCGTTTCTTCTTCTTCTTCTTCTTCTTTTCGTTTCTTCGTCAACTTCTTCTTCTTC